CGAGTTCCTCGAAGACGTTGGCCCGGTATCCCGCTTTTCCCGCCGCCGCACGCCGACGCCGCCGCGTTCTTCGCCGCCTCTCCTTACCCCCGCGGTCGTCCTTCCGCCGATTTCATTCATTCCTTCTTTCCCTTTCTCTTTCTTTCCAGCCCCCTTCCTTGTCTCTCTTCTTCGCCCCGTCTTTCCGTGACGTCCGCGCGCGTCTTTTATTTTCGCCGCGAGACGCGCGCGCGGCCACGCGACCCACGTTTCCTTCGCCCTGCGGAACCGCGACACCTCGGACGTGACGCGGACTTTAACCTTCTACTAGGGGCGGCTGGGACCTTTAACCTTCTTCACGGTTCGAACGCTGGGACGCGGGATTTTGGGGATTTGACTTGAAGGATCGAACGTTTGGTGTTTCGATGGGTTTTGGAGGCTAGAACGTTCGGCGGTTGGTTAGGGGAGGTTTGTTGTGCTCCGAGGGATCTAGTTCGAAGAGTTTGATAATTTGTTGGGGTTTTGCGAGACTTTGGTTTGATAGAGATCGTTTCTTATATGAAGATTGAAGGCAGTGTTTTCCAAAGTATTCAACGATCAACATTTTAATGAGGATGATGATTTGATTTTAATTTCTTGATGAATTTGCGTTATCTGATGTGTTTAAACTATCGAATATTTTGATAAATCCAATGATTTGGTTTTAGTTGTTTGAAGGAATGTATATGGGCTTTGTTTCCTTTGTAAGGATTAAACAATATTTTCTGAACTTTGGTCATGAGCGGCGATAATGTTGACGATTTTGACCGGAGTAAATCGAGCCAGACCGGTGTGACTAGATGAAACGGTTTACTGAGATTCGGTCGACGATGTTGATGGTTTCAGACGCGTTGACATGGAAGAGAAATTTTACGGATCTCTTGACGCTAGTACGAGGAACAGGTGGCTTTTTCGAGATTTTATCGATGTGATCTACGAGGAACATATTCGTTCATCTTATAGAATATTTTATATTTCACTTTGTAGGACTCTCATGTAATTAATTTCAACGTTCAAAGCAAAGTAGCGGAAGCAAAGGGGAATTTAAATTTGTAACTAATACTTCAGCTTTTCGAATGATACAAAAGTAACTGGAGAAAACTTAATTTCTGTATCTTAACAAAACAAATGTTCACTTGTCGCACTTTTGTGTTCAACTTAAATTCTATTCGCAAATGTTATTTCACTTGTTCAACGTATAAAATTTCTATTATTTCATTGAGAACCAGATTATTCCAAAAGTTCTCATGACAATCACGTTAACTATTCGATTCAAAGTTTACTAAACAACATGCAAATTCGATACTTAGAATAATCTTCGTCAGATTTATAGCAGACTCACATTACAAAGAATAATCGACAAACTTCAATCTCGTGTAAAAGACATTATTCCGAGCCAGCTGTTCAAACATCAATAAATTACCCGGAAACCAACAGTGAATTATCCAAATACTCCAAGAAACTATCACGATGAACAAGAAAACTCGTTCACAGGAGAAAACCAAAGGAACACGACACGGTCTGTCATCGGAAGAACTTGAAGTACTGCCTAGCAAAAGCAAACGTCCCTACAGAAACTCCGATTCTCGCGAAACGAAGGAACGACGGGAAGGAAGGTGGCCGCGTGAAACGCAGGGAGAAACTAACGAAACGGTGGGCCGAAGTTTCCCTCTACTTTTCAAGTTCATCCGCGGCGTCGGAGGCGCGCGTTGCTCGCGCCTCTGGGATCCAAAAATAATGATGCTTGTTCCGGTCAAGCGACGCGACGGAGGCTGGCGTGTCCGTCAAAACAACGCAGCCTCACCGTCTCGGTACAAGAAAATTCTTTCTGTCACACTCACCTTGCGCGATCCTGACCGCGGGCATTTTGATCCTCATGGTGACGTTTTTCTGGATCGTCGCGGCGCGTCGCACGTCTCGAAACACGATCACGTATCCTCCGTGGGTCCAGGACGGAAGGGACGATTAAAGGAAGTGTGGAGCGGTCCTCGTGGCTGATGATGATTCCTCTCGCGATTTCCTTTCCTCTCGTTCCCTTTTAGTCACCGGCAAATTGGAGGCGTGAAGAAAAAGGGGAGGGAGGCGATTATCAAGAAGAAGAAGAAGACAGTGTCCTTCGACCCTGGAATCGAGACAGGACGATCGTCACGCTTCTTCCCTCCTCCCCCTCACCTCCGCCTCACGATCTTCACCGTCAAGTCCATCCAACTTTCCAACTATATTTCCACTTTTGACGAACTTTGAAACGAAGTCACTTACCGGACGACTACACGAATATAAAACGCTAAACCCCCCTGGTAGCTGACCACCTACCCGATGCCTAGCTGCTCTAATTGTCTCCCGATGCACACCTGGCCGCGGCTGCGACCACGGTACTAACAGTCGGCCGGTACGCACTTCTTCGTCAACTAATGCTCGTCCTCATGTTCCCCGATCGTCCGGCACACGGGAATCGAAAGGGACTCGGGCACGCGGCGCGGTGCACATACACGACACCAGGGCCCTGCGGCTCGATCCTCGGGATAACAGTCCGCGTGCACAGGTGCTTCGCCGGCCGCCGGTCGCGTCGCCGGTCCCTACGCGAACCCCACAGTCTCCCTGTTCAAAGCAACCTAACGATGACCATCGGACAAAGTATCCTTCCGAGCACCGTTCACGAATCTCATGTCATGCGTCACTGGCCGTCGCTATCGTCACATGCACGGTACATATCCCTTCACGTTCGTCACTGTTCTCACCGTGTTTCACCAGACAAATACCGAACGAACCAAGTCGAACTACAACCGAACGAGAACTGAAGGAGCTAAAACAAAAGAGTCCTCGACTGTCCTGCTTCTAGGTCCAACACACTGGAAGTTTCTTTCTTGCGAACGGTCGGCTGGGATAGAGGACGGGTAGCTGTCTTATCGTCGTCCGTCATGCATCTCCGAGAGCGTCAACGCGGACGACGTCGCTGGTCCCGCGTCCTGACAGTGTCACCTCTGGCCTCTGACCCGGCCGTGCGTCGCGTGTCCTGCCCGTGGTCCTGCTCACGGTGTCTCCTCGTGTCGGTTGACGCGCGGATGCTGGATGCCTGATGCCGGCGTGGACCAGAGCGACGATGGTCCAGCATGGGTCGTATCTCTGAGTGGACTGTGCCGGACGGTGCGCCTAGTCGTGCCGTGCGGGACCTGGTGTGTCGGGCACTGCGCTCGCTTCGGACGCGCTCGGTTCGCCTCGGCGCCGAGGCCGGACACCCCACGCGCTCTCGGGGTAGTTTTCACCCCCGTGGTGGGGGTAACGCCGATACCCACCTCTCGCTCGCTCCCACTCGGCTACGACCGTTGTCCCTGTCCCCTCCTCGGAGCGTCTTCGTCTGGGCAACGGCGCCGCGACGTTCGCTCGCCTCGTCCTCCCCCCCTCCTAGCCGCATGCACGTACACGCGAGACGAGACGGTGTGCGCCGTATGTAGCCTTCTGTCGTCTACCTCCGTTCCTGCTGTCTCTGTCTCCGTTGGTCCCGTTCGGTCGGTCGCTGGTCGTTTCTCTCTCTTTCTCTCTCTCTCTTTCTCTGCTGAGCGTTTCCCGCGGCCGATCGTCCTCTCTGCCCACCTCGATCATTCCGAGTCTGGCAATGGTGGGCACACGCTTTCCGCGACGAGCGCTCGGAATGGTCATCTTTCCAGGGATCCGAGAGGTTCCGCGGGATAGGGTTTTTGGAAACGGTAGTGGGATGGTTTTGGGTTTTTCGATTGATGGGTTTTACGAGTTAATTGGGGTTTATGGTATGGTTTATAGCTGTTGGAATTGCTTTTGAATAACTTTCCAGGGTTTCGAGGGGTCTTTGGTTTCTCCGGGATCGGGATTTTGGAAATGATTCGGGGGGTTTTGAGTTTGATTGGTTGTGTGAATTGATTTGTGTGTATGGTGTGGCTTACGGTTGTTCGAATTGGGTTTTGTAATGAGAGTGTAGTTGTTTATGTTTGAGATGAGTGTGTTTGAAGTGTATTGAAATGGATTACTTGGGTATTGAATGAGTGGAAGTTGCGACTTGTAATGCAGAAGGAAGACTGTTATTGATATAATAGGTAGTAATATTCTCTTTGGCAACGGTGAGCATATTTTTAAAAGTAATTTGAAGTGGTCATCTCGAAGAAGGTTAATGTCCTCTTAATATCGGGTGGTCTGTGTCTATGTTAATAATTAATAAATTACTTAGCTGTGTTACACGCGGTTCTATGTGTTTCACTTTTATCTTGAAGAATAATGTAGTTGTCTAATTAATGAATAATTTCTTCTTAATAGTGTAGATGTGTTCCATGTACCCTGGGTCATCGGTAAAAAACGTGACCACGAGTATTGAATGAAACCACATTTGAAAATGTAATTCTTGTTGGACCGATAGGTATCTGGATGAATTTGTGAATACAACTGAAAGGTATGCGCAACATGTGCAGTCTCTTTCACATGTTAATACTCTAGTACACATGTTCCAACTATCCATACGACTAATACAGTAAGAGGGTTGCTTTTGTTTATTTTTCTATTTTGCACGTGCAATTTTCAAAGTTCCACAGTCGCTCACAAAATTTTGCATTCATATCATAAATTACAACTATCGTAACGAAGACACTAACAATTTATTCAGAATATAAATCTTTAAAACTTCTTACATTACACGAAATCGTACAAGTTTTCGAACTACCACAAATCATTCCGTATAAATCAATCTCGAAAGAAATATAATCCAATCACAAACATAGTTGTGATATCCATCACAAATAATCTTAACGTTCTCATCAACAATTAATCTTAACTCTCTATAATTAATCCAACCATAATCCTACATTACTAAAAATAATCTATTATAGTAACAAATACATATTCAATCGGATTTAGTTATTTCATTCCTCCAATTTCGACACCATCGTTTCCTTCAGTCATTTCCATTACCATTACCTTCGAAATTACATATTCTTCAAGTGAGAAAATTCAACGGACACCTCGCGAGTAAATGTGACGAGGGGTGGCCATAATTTTTTAGGAACCTACCCCTCGGTGTTTTTTTCTCGATGGCGGGGAGGATGATCGGTATGGTCTGGAGGCATCCAGACGCTGTTACAACGGTTCCCAGGTTCCCGTATGGGGGAAAAGTCTACTCATGAGTTCCTGTAACGTTCTTGGTGTTTCGCCGATTCCCTGGGTGACGATGCGATTAACGATGGCCGAGAGTTTAAATTGCCCCGGGTAATTTCTATGCGTGTTAATGCAGCTTGGACCGGCGCCAGGCTTTTGTTGACGATCGCTGTCACATTTGTTATACTCCCGTTACCCTGGCCCGTTCTAAATTTCCTCGGATCACTTTTTTATCCTTGTTGCGTAGACGATCATTACGCTACACTTCGCTTTTTAAACGTCGTACATAAATACAACGATGCAACCAAAGACAATTTTACTGTGTTTTAAATCGCGTCCATCGAAAAATTTGGTAAACGTCTCTACGCTGAAAATTCGTCATTTCCAATAACAGCTGGTAGCTCTCGTTTATCACTTATAATATTATCTGTCACTTTATTCGACGATGTTAGAAAAAAGAACAGCCTTGAGGATCAGAAAAGATGTCCTTCGAATGTGAATGATAGCTGTAAACAGTTGACCGTTTTTTATATAATTTTTCAGCTTGCTTCAACCACTCACGATAAATTTATTTACCAATATATTCAACCTATAAAATGTTACATAAATTGTCGAAAATATAAGTACTTCTCTATTCATTTTTACGAACGACTCATACTTTCTTCAAAAACCACATCAGTCATACTTTAAAAACCCGACTACATCAATCAATTTTAGCACGTTGGCTGCCACGAAAAACAGCATTTTACGTATCACGTAGTATTTTGTGGCAAAGATAAAAAATTATTAAATACTTGCTACCACAATTCTTGCGTTACACTGTTATCTAGTTATTTACACTATTGAACATTTTTATCCAACGTCAGTTGTCTTATGAACTATAATCGTTTTCAAGCCATTTCGAAGCTCCGATCCCATTTAACCACTGTGACAGAGAAAGCGCCAAACAAAGCACAAAAATCTTTCTACTCTCAAATCACCAGTAGATCATCAATTTAGCACTAAACGTACCGAACAGTTAAATTGACTTTTCGAAATTCGCCTATAGCAAATTCAAGGGTGCATCTATCGAGAGTTCAATTGATTTATAATTCAGCATGCGTATTGCTAAATCAATTTTTTTAATAATTCCTCAGAGAAATATCTGTTATCTTTTTAACAGTTGCAAAAAAAGAAATTAGAAATGGGTTATTTTTACCTGTCTGGTAGGTTTATTGTTAACATTAACCGTACGGGAACTTATCCTTCGTTACCAGTCAAATAATTGGCTGTAAAATAAACAAGTTAATATAGGAATTAGTAGAATAAGAATTACAATAAGAAATATAGATAAGATAAACAAGTTAATATAGGAATTAGTAGAATAAGAATTACAATTAGAAATATAGATAAGATAAACAAGTTAATATAGGAATTAGTAGAATTAGTATAATATAGTTTCCTAACAAGGGAATATAAGAATTAATAGAATTATATAATAAATATAGGAACTAGTTAGAATTAGAATTAAAAATAGAGGCAATATAGGAATTGATATTAAAGTTACATATACGAAAAAAACCTAGACCTTTAGATCCGATCATTTGACCGGTTTCCGATACGGTTAGTGTTAAAAAAGACAATTACAACCACCGCAGTCACTTCGATCCAGGATCCCAAACGATTCTCATTTTCAAAAACCTCACCCCCGAAAGGATTCTCGCGTCCGCGATTTCCCTTGGTATTCAGACTACCATAACGTCTGGGAGTATCACGATTTTACTATCATTACCAATTCATCCCCGAAAACCGGGATCGGAGACGTTCGAAGGCGGAGCCGGTCGGTGCAAAAACACGGAAGAAATTATACCCGCTTGCTCATCGGACTTTTAAAACGTCAACTGGGCTGGGGGTGGAGGGTGGACGTTTAAATGCGAGCCGTTCGACGGATCGTACGGGAACAATGATCGCGTCGTCTTTCGTCACTCGACGCCGCCTATGGATCCGCGGCCGCGATTACCGATGCACGCCGGGGTCCCCTTCGAACTTCCCGTAAACACGTATACACACCGTCGATCCGCAGAGAAAGTGGAGTAGACGAGTGTACGCAAGGAGATACCTGCTCTCTCACATTAATTATTCCGTGACTAAACCCTTCATCCACGGTGGGATCGATACCCGCGACGCGGATCTTTCCACGGGATTATTCGCCCAAGGATCGAGATCCTGGGACAGAAAGGCAACCGCGAGACAGACGGGCTAGCTGCGACGACAGAGGAGCGGAGAGGAAAAAGACGCGGGGTGGCAGACTACCGAGCTTTGCATTATCCTGGATCTTAATGGTCCGGGGAGCGACTTTGTCTGCTGACGAATATAAATGGGGGAAGTGACCGATCGCGGTCGCCGAATTTTCCTGGAAATTTTAGTTGAACGGTGTATACGAACTGTAATGTTGTTGTTGAGATAAGTGTAATTTTGATCTTTCCTTCTTTTGTTTTAGAGATTCTTTCAGGAATGTTTTGGGAATTTTTGGTAATTATTTCTTTGTGTTTTTTCGTAAATATTATTCTCGATAGTTTTCGGGTAATGTAAGGATGGTCTGTAAACTGTTCGAAGCAATATTTTAATAAACGTGATAGTTTAAACTTCATCGCTAGTGATTTGCTAGAACAAAAAGAAATCTAGTCTCTAGATTCTTCATCTTCTCTAAAGATTAATTATTAGAAAAATAGAATTGCAATGAAAAGGAGAATTGAACAATTCCAAGATTCATTACTTTTTATATAAAGTCCTCATACCTAGATCTCAATAGTATAACAAAAATCAGCAATAATTCTACTACACTTTCACTATAGCCATCTCAATTAACACTAGAACTACCAGATGGGTCAGAATGAGTTATTTCTGACTTCCTCTTTTACAGTTACTGAAAAGGTACAGACGCTTCTACGAAAAATTATTAACGGAACTAATTCGGAAAACTGAAATGCAATTCAATTGAAATCTCAACGAACGCACGCTTGTGGTTTTTATAAAGAAATTTGTAAAAATCAGTTTAAGTGATCGGTAGTTCTAGTGTTAAGCATACAAAATTGTCCTACTTCTGTTCTTCGCACAAAATAATTTATAAAAACGAAGGCGTCCATAAACGTCCATAATCTGTCTACAGTGTTCCTAGTAGCTCCTCCCAGTAGAATACATAATCCTCCAAGACAAGCGTACATCATTTCCCTTAA